GGTATAAAATGTGCATTAACAAGCGTGAAACCAGACGTCTCAATAACTATGGAGGTCTTCAAAAACAACCAAATTAGGCCTAATATATAATGTAAATGTAATATTGCAAATTCCTGTTTAAAAAGTCAGGGCTTGTTTGACATCGCTTTGTTTTTAGTTTTCTATTTTTTTTTAAACAAAAAACCAAAACATGAAACAAGAAAAAGGTGTTTCCACTTTTCTATTGTCAGTTTTTAAAATTATCATGATTTTAATAAGTTTGACTAATTTTTGATTCATTAAATGACATATATCGTAAGATTTTGAAAAACAAAAAACCAAAAAATAGAAAACCTCAGCGATGCCAAACGAACCCTTAGTTGTCTAATTAAATTTTTATGTTTTTTTTTTTATAAAATTCTTTTACATGGCTATCCACATGCTGCGGCCACTTCACATATAAAGTAATTAAATGGTGATAGAGGTTATCACAATGAGCAAATGGGGTAAGTTACCTTGACGGGTGTGGGGTTACTCCAACGGAAAATTCGAGTTATTTTCATATAACTAAAGTTTTTTCTTTTATCAGCTAAAAGACTTAAAATAAAATAATAGGGATTAATTCTTTCAAAAAAAAATATAGGGATTAATTCGAATGAACAAATGGGATTAAATTTTTTTAATTAATTGATATTATTCTTATAATAAATTTGGGTTACTTTTATGCATAAAATGGAATTACTCATATGAAAAATTGGGGTTACTCATACAGCAAATTACTCTTATCTATAAATCAATATCGCCACATGTGGTGACCACACACAAGACTTAGGCCCTGTTCTTTAGAGTTGATCTGCTCTACTGAGCCCTGCTCTGCTCTACTGAAATCTGCTCTGCTCTGCTCTAGAATAAAAATAATAATTAATAATATCTTTAAAATAAAAAATTAATAATAACAAAAATAATAATAATAATTAAAATAAAATAATAATTAAAATAAAATAACAATAATTATTAAATTTAAAGTAATAATAATAATGATAATTAATATAAAATAATAATAATAAAATAATAATAATAATAAAATAATAATAATAATAATAATTAATAATAATAAAAATTAATATAAAAATTAATAATATTAAAATAATAATAATAATAATAATTAATATATAATATAATTAATATATAATAAAAATAATAATAATTAAAATAAAATAATAATAATAATAATTAACATAAAATAATAATAATAATAATAATAATTAATATAAAATAATAATAATAATAATTAATATAAAATTATAATAATAATAAAAATAATAATAAATAATAAAATAATAATAATTAATATATAATAATAAAAATAATAATAACAGTAATAATTAAATGCGATAATAATAGTAATAATACTTAAAGTAAAATAATAATAATAATAATAAAAATAATAATGATAATAAAATAATAAAAATAATAATAGTAGTAGTAGTAGTAACGACAATAATAATAATAATAATAATAATGCTGAAATCTGCTCTGCTCTGATAAAATTCGCTCTGCTCTGCTGATCCCTTCTGCTCAAAAAAATAGGGCCTTACCGAACTTGTATAAAGCCAAAGGTAATTCTTAAAACAACAACAAAAAAAAAAAAAAAAAAAAAAAGGAAAAAATAAACATAGAGTAATGTAGAAGTAATAAGTAATTGATAAAAATATTTAAAAATGAATTGAAGACTACACTCACTACAAACCATTTTAATTATCTCCAAAAACATATACGAAGTATGATGTAAAACAAATCACAATAGGGCCTCACAAGATTTAAACCTTAGACCTTTGACATATTCAAGGCGCACACCAAATCTTCTTAGCATCAATGACCACTATATCATAATCTTAACTATTATTTTGGTCCGGGCAATGCCCCAGATCAGATACGTGCGGTTAATTATTAGTATACATTTAAATTAATGATTCAATTTTTTTGTAATTAAAATTTTGTTTTCATATTTTCATCCACTAGATATTAATATTTTGTATTCAATAAAGAACATAAAATGTGGCATAGCTTAGTGATAAGACACTTAGTTTTAGAGGTAGCAGTTGCATGTTTAAATTTTGTTGATAATTTTTTTTTATTTTATAATGATGATATGCGTGCAATAAGAAACAAATGGAGGAGAGTGCCACGTGGCGCATATAATAAGAACAAATAAAGGAGAGTGTCACGTGGCGCATGTAATAAGAAACAAATAAAATAGAGTGTCACGTGACATATAAACATCCTTTGAAACGCCAAAAAGTAATTCGTTTACATAATCAAACGTGGAGGCCCCTATTTTATTGACCCATATTCCTTGGTTTCAGTTGGATTAAATTATAGTCGGAAGTACGTAAAAAAACTCACAATATTACATTAAAAAAAACGGAGGTAGTATATGTAAATTATATATCACATGTCATGATAAAAATAAATTAATAATAACAAAGCATGCATTGCATTGAATGTGAAACTAGTTTCTACTTTCTATGTAGTATTAGATTTTGAGTAAACTAACTTTGTGATTAGTTTTTACTTTTAGAACGACAACAAATAATGGCCTACATTATGTTAATTACTAGCTAAGCCCTTGTGGCCTTGTACAGTGAGTCAATGACAAATATATCTTCCTAACAATTGGAACGAGCTTAAAGCAAAGGAAGATTAAGCTTTAGTTAACGGCTAATTACTCTGAATCAAATAAATGTTGGTTGTTGGCAACTGGCAAAGTCATGTTATTTTATACTTCAAGTTTTCATTCATCTTTTGTGCAATTTGCTACGCAACCCTACAATCAATACAACTAAATAACTTATCATCCTCTAGTATCTAATCTTTAAAACATTCTAAAAAGAATTCGCTTATTTTTAGTTGTACACTAAGTTCATAATGGTGTTTGACACTATTTACGTATTTCTCTTTGATCATCATTCTTTATCTACAGAATAACAAAAACATACTCATACTAAATGTTGCAACTAGTCTTAACACATAATTTCAAATCATCATCAACTTCCGATTTCAATTTTACTGTAAGACAATTAACGTTAAACTGGACAAACTCTCTCTTTGTGAACTTGAGATCAACCTAAGTAATGATTCAAGTTAGGATTGATCATACATTTTACCAAAATTCTAAACCACCAATGTTTTGTCAACGAGTCTATCAAAGAGACATTCATAAATATAAAAGTTAACTAACCATATTATAAAAGATAAGACCCTAAATAAAAACAAAAGATTGTTGTAGAGGGCGTGAAAAACACACAACCAAACAAGAATATATAAGGCTTAATTAACTTGATGGAAAAGCCAAGCCAACCACCCTTTCTTTTGGACAATAATGCTCAAAAAAAAAAAGATCGTCCACTTTAACTTTTGTTCAATCATGTTTCCTGTTAGGTTTTGTCATGTTAATTAATACAACTATCTTATATTACTATTATTCAATTATTTCTGATTAAGTGGTCATTACAATCTGGATTAATGTATTGTATTATCATAAGCTTTTACAGGCTGGATGACAAAGGATGTTGGTATGGCCTAGGCATCATCAAGCACAAGGGGTATGACACGTAGTCGTGTAAAACAGTAAGTATTTCATTACATTATCTCTTTGTCTGGGATTAATAGTCGCATATGCTAATTTATAACTGTTGTAGTTTTTCAAGCAGTACCCTTTGTATTAGCTAGCTTAGTTTGCTTATATTTTTGAATACAGTGCTACTTAAGTTGAGATAGATTGAGAATTGATAGAAATTGAACAACTATTATTCTATATTGAAGAGTATTTATAAAAGTGTCTTGTTATTAATTATGAGTAGTTGAGTACGCCAACATAATAAGACGGCTAATTTTGAATAACTAATGTGTGGGAAAAAAAAAATGCAAATTGAGAAGACAGGGAACTAATTAGATGTTCATCATTTTCATACCACAAAATTATTCCAAGGTCAAGCTTCCCATTATTATCTAATTTTGAACTCCTTGGCTCCACATATATGACATAGGATAAGAAAATTATGTTAGTTTATGTTTTTAGTGTTTAATAAGACTTAGCTTCACCTAATCTAACCATTAGGTGCAACCAGCTGGAATCTAACATCTTACGTAACGAAATATGGTTATCCTTAATTAGTCTTCAAAATTCATTCAAAAAAACAGAAAAAAAAAGAAGTAAATGAAGTCTATAAAGATAACTAACTGGTAAGAAAAACTTGTAGAGGGAACAATTTTCTTTGATACTTAATTCCAAAATTGCATATTAAGGCCTTGTTCAGTGTTCACTTAACCTTACAAAAAATAATATTCAGTAAAATTAATTTTAATTCAGTAAAAATAATTTCAGTTCAATAAAAATTAGTTCAGTTCAGCAAAAATAATTTCAGTTCAGTAAAAATAATTTCAGTTCAATAAAAATCAGTAACTGTAAAGAAGAAATATAATAGAGAATTAGTAAAAATAATTTCAGTTCAGTAAAATTAATTTAAGTTCAGTAAAAATAATTTACGTTCAGCAAAAATAATTTCAATTCAGTAAAAATAATTTCAGTTCAGCAAAAATAAGGTGAAGTGAACGGGATAACCCCATTTGCTCATCTCGAGGTAACCCCACATCAATCGAGGTAACCCCATTTGGTCATCTCGATAATAGATAATCTCTATTACTTAATTAATTACCTTTTATGTAAACATTGTAAAGTGATCACAACATGCGACTAGCCACATATAAAAATTCAGTCCGTCTTGTTTGCGGCTGGCCACATCATGTGACCGTTTATTTATAAAAGAACAAAGTAACCCCTAAAACACTGACCGAGTGACTCCTGTAACACTAACCGAGTAGCCTTTATAACACTAACAAAGTAGCCTCCATTATGACTGGTCACAGTATAACTAGCCACATATAAGAATTTGTGATAAAAATTTGTGAATAAAAAATGGAATTTTAAAAAAAAAAAAAAATTCAATGCTTGAACATAATTTTTGATATATACAACTTGCGAAATGTAAATTTAGGGAACAAAGGGAAGTCGAATAACGCTTTAAATTTACAAAAATAAAGAATCACGACCTTAGTTAGCTAGATAAGTAATGAACTTTTCAACAGTCAAATACTTTTCTTCATATGCTTTCAAAAAAAAAAAAAAAACTTTTCTTCATATATTATTATACTAGCAATTGAATTTCCATTATTTCAAATTGAATAACAACTAATTTTGTAACTAAAAAAACCTTTGACTCTTAGCAAACACCCTGTTGCTCCTTCGGTTTGATGCAAGTATAAATGGGAGATTTAGATTGTGGTGATTGCAACTGTAACGGCTGCGATTGTGATTGTAATTGTGATTGTTGCTGTATAGAAGACTGCTGTTCGGTACGAGCTCACTAACTGATTTAATTGCTCAATTTTGCCCTGTTTTATTGTTATATTTAATTTTTATTATTCGCGTTTATTTGAATCTTTTGGTACTTGCTTCAATTATCTGGTGATTATGTTGAAACGAAAGTGATTTGTATGATTAGGAGAGAGGCTAAAGAATGATTTGGGAAGAAAATTTTATGTTTAGGTGAATCAGAAAATAGGATAATTAACCTAATTCAAATTTTCAGATGATTAGTGTAAAATATTACTTGTATTTTTACCAATAGTATAAAATTAAATGATTTGGGAAGAAAATTTTATGTTTAGCTAGAATTTATGGTGGTGGAAGGGAAGAGGAAAGAGAAAGGAAGGAGGAAAGAGAAAGGAAGGAGGAAAGAGAAGGGGAGGGGTGGTTAGAGGGGGGTAGGATGTCTGGGTGGGCTGCCGGAAGTTATGGAGGAGGAGGAGGAAGGATGGAGGAAAGAGAAAGGAAGGAGGTAGGGAAAAAAAAAAAAGGAAAAAGGTGGTTTTTAGATTTAAAAAAAATTAATTAATTGATTTTTTTTTAAAAAATTAATTTTATTATTTGGACCAATCAGGTGCCGCCACGTGTCAGTTTTTAATTCTATTTTATTTTTATTTTTTTGGACCAATTACAGGCCGCCACATGTTAGTTTTTAAAGTTAAAAAATAAAAAAAAAGTCAATTTTTTTTTTTTTTAACGGAAAGGAAACGACAGGTACACCTCTGATAACTGTGTGAAACCTTGAGTGTACCACTGATAAAGAATAATTGATGAGGTGTACCAAAGATAAAAGCCAAAAGTTGGAGTGTAGCAGTGATAATTACCCTATTATTGATAAAAAAATGAATCAAAGAGATATTCATTTATAATCATGGCCATGCTCTTAATCCCTAAACTCTTCAAAATATAAGAGGTGAATTGATCTCATGATAAGTCAACTATTGACTTTCTTGTACTATACTTTGTCTTGAAGCATAAAAATGTACTCCCTCTATTCCTTATTTTTTTTGCCTCATTTGATTTTTCACGGTTTCTAAAACGTGTCTTCAAACTTATATATCTTTATTTTTATACGCGTAAAAATTATAAAAATTTGATATTAATAAATTATACAATGAAACAATTCTAACACGATCCCACATGAATATATTATCACTTATAAATTAACGAGAATTCATGGACAAAGTTTTATAAGTTTGACCCATATTTTTGCAATGAGGCAAAAATTAAAGGACGGAGGGAGTACATAGTCTATATCAAATAAGGGATGACTCACTCAATAAGAGTACCACTTCTTATCTTAGAGTTTAGACGCTAAAGGTTTAGATTCAAAGTTAACCAAGTTAACATTCATAATTGGAGGTGGGGATTCCCTTACACCTTATGCACTACAAGTTTTATACAGTATATATATTGTACACATCAGTCGTGTTATATTGTATATGCAGGGTGAAAACAATGTGATTCTATGTTGTTGCTTGTTTCCATCCTCTAATGATAATGCAAGAAGAACAAATAGAGGAGTATCTACATATACAGATACACATACAGACTGCTCGCTATGTTGTTGCTGTTGCACATCCCCTTCTCCAAGAAGTAACGAATCAAAGAAAAAACGATCAAAGTGTTTTTGTTCACGCCTTTGGTCGTGGTGCATTGGGAGTACTAGTAAGCCTTCTCCACCTTCTTCACCGCCTCGAGCTCAATCATCGTCGGATAATCTATCTCCAGCTCCGGTGGAGAACACGGAACGTCGTACCGGAAAGCAAGCAAGCTGGGAAGGGCTCAATAGTTCAAGTAAAGATTACAAGATGGATGGAAAATGGTCTAGGCCGGAACGATATGGAGACCATTATCAAAGGCAATTCCAATGATAGTGTGTTGTTGTGTGTATATATATAATCTTGTTACTCTTATGGCAAGGTGTTTACTATACTTTATTTTATTTATTTGTTGGAGTAATAATTTGCAAAAATAAAAATAATAATAATAGATTTTCATGTACCTCTTAATTTTACTTTGTTTATACATGTATTGAAAACATTAAGTTCAAGGAAATTAATTAATACCCTAGAGCACCACCTATGGATTTGGGTGCATACAATGACATAAATTGAATGAGGCCGAATGATGGAGATTTCAGATCACCAGAAAAGTTAAATCATGCTTTTTTTTTTTTTCTTTTTTTTTTTTTAATGTTAGTTATGTTATATCAAACTAGCTAGTATAGTGTTTATATATGCGATGGAAGACTTATAAATTATTAAATATATAATCTATAATATTATTAAATTTCAAAGTACAACATGCTATTGTCACGTGTCATGCTTCCCCGACTTGGTACCATATGCATTTTGACATGGCAAGTCCATAGAATCTGATTCGGGTGAAAACAATGGGTCCTTCATTTAGACCTTTCTTGTGGACTGAAAACTGGACTCGGCCCAAGTGATGACTGGGACTGGGATGAGGGTATCCTGCACGGCAAACACACATAAACTGGCCTCAGGGGTTGTGCCGAGGAAGACCCCTCCAGTGTTTTCTAGAGAGAGAAAGCTATGCAAGGGAATTAATTGCTTGAGGCTAATTGTGAATGAATGTAGGGAGAGAGAAGTAAAGACTTTTATACTTTACTCAAATAGAATAAGTGGGCCTTGAAGCTAAATGGACTTGTCACATTGACTGGGCCTTTGACTGACTTGACATGCATTTTAAGGGTTGAACCTTCTTTGGGCTTGGAATTGGATTATTTGTGGACCGACCCAATTGGAGTGAATTGGACCCAAACAACTTGCCCCCCAGACCCAGTTCGAAATTTTGACGAGTCGGGTTTTGACTTGCAATTTGGAGGGAAGCAAATGATGCAGTTAATTAGCATTTAAATTTTTGTAGTTATTGTGGTAATAACAGGTGTCGGAATTAAAAGGGAATTTGGAGAGTTTAGTGGGTGGTTAATTAGGGAAGTAGATGAACAGTTGAAGCACTGAAGTGGAGTTAGTGGGGGCTTTAGTGGCGCGAACTCCCAAACTTCCTGAACTAACAGGTATATATGTCACTCATCCCACTTTCTCTCATTTCAATTTTCGCTAATTTCGAATTGCTTCTCGCTAATCACTGCCCTTAAACTTTTTCCTTTTCCCGTTTGTACTCAGCAATTCGAGACTTAAAACCAGAATTCGTTGCTTCGAACTTATAGATCGGCGAATTCCACATCTGAACAAGGTAATTTTCTTCGGAATTTTATTCGCACAACCACCGTTAAAAATGGGCGGCAATCGTGGAAAGAGGAAGGTGGAGGCTGAGCCGAGTGTTGAAGAAGAGGAAGAGGTTCTGCAGTTGATTATGCAACGGAACCGCCCTTTGGCGTGATGCCCCCCTCAGCGACCAGAATCCTAGGACTAGGACTGGTCGCGCCGCCGCTGCTAGCGGCTCTGCCATCAGTGTCGTCCCATTGACCACTTTGCCGCCTCGGGCTTCGGGATCGGCTAGTACTTCTGGCCAAAGCGCAGCTTCAGCATCTAATCCGTTGACCCTTGAGGAAAAGGAGTGGCTAGACGAGACAGCGAATGCGGGCATTATATCGTCCCCCCTTACGGCTGGTGGGTTGGGAACGACGCTGAATTCTGCTTCGCCGAGCAAATTGAGATTTGCTACGGGATTATGGAAGAAGATGGGTACTGGTGCCGAATGCCTTCTTCGGATGAAAGGATTCATCGCGCTCCGCCGGGCTACATCGGAGTTTATACTCGCCAGCTGTAGTATGGGCTTCGGTTCCCCCTTCATTCCTTTATAACTTCGGTGCTGAACGGGCACAACATCTCGTTTTGTCAGCTAACTCCCGTGAGCATCCAAAGGGTAATGACTTATCTTTGGGTGTGCCTGTTCTTTGAATTTACACCGAGCGTCCATTGTTTTCGCTGTATGCATAAACTGGTCCCGAATGTCCAGGCAAACAAGTTCCATGGCCCTGACTGGTGGTGCCACAAAAAGAAGATGAGAAGGGTTATCTTTCGGTCTGGCCGAACGATACCTCGGACAAAGACTGGAGGGGTCAATGGATCTGGGTAAGGGCGCCCCCGGATGAAGAACACCCAAACTATTTCAGTGTGCCGAGGTATCTGCGGCACGCTGATCCCGATATGGCCAGCATTGGTCCTGATGAGTTCTCTGATGCGGGCCTGAAGCAAATGACACACTTCGGCCAGTCCACAGTGCGCGGGGCCACGGGCTGGATGAAGACCGTACCTACTACCTGACTGCCTTGCTGCCACTACATCTTCCAAGAGAAGATGCTTGATGTTGTCGGCCTCAGCCGAAAGTACCAAGGCGGTAAGGAGCTCGGCTGAGACCGGGGGCTTTATTTTTTGTTTATTTTGTTTTTCGATGTCTGTTTTCTTTGGCGAAGCTAACTGTTGTTTTGTCTTTTGAGTGTTGTACGAAGAGAATTACGAGGTGCTCGGGATCACTCAGGAGAGGAATTTGATCACTAATACTCCCAAAATCATTGATTTGAAGGATCGACCTCTCAGCTTATACAAGAAGAGGTTTAAGATAGTCAGCGCGGCTGAGTATCAGCAGCAGAAGCCTTAGTGGGAGAAGAGTAATCCATTCTTTGTTCTGATTGCCGAAGAACAAGCCGCTGCAGCTCGTGCTTCTTCTGCAGCTAGAACTCCTGTTATTGCCGGGACTTCCAGTGCTGCTTGACCCTTTGCTCCTGTTGCTGAGCGAGCTGAAACAACTGCTCCAGGGGTTGAAGAAGGTGAAGACGAAGACGAGCGTCTCTTGAAGACTTCAGTAAGCCTTCAAACTTAACTTGTTTGTTGCTGTTGTTGTTTTTTTTTTTTTTGGTACTTATATGGTTCTTTGCCCCCCTGTTCCTTCTTCTGCAGTCTGACGAAGAAGAAGAGAACAAAGGAGAACCTGTTGAGACTGTCCAGGACTCTTCTTCAGACGAAGAAATGGCTGGGTTGAAGAGGAGAACAATCATTAGACCAGGGCAATTTCAGGTTGCTCCTATTCCAGCGAAAGAAGCCTCGCTTAGAGGAAGAAAAAATAGAAGAGACCAAAAAGAAAACTCCTCCTCCTCCAGAGACTCTAGCCAAGGAAGAAGTCCAGCAGAAGACTCCTTCTCCTGAACCATTAGTCAACGTTCAGGAGATTGAATTCGGAGAGAAGACTCTGCGCTCCTCGTCCCCACCTCGGGAAGGAATTTTCATCGACGATATTCAGCGGGAGACTGATGCTCTTTCTCTGCATCAACTCGAGGACGATGTAGAGGTTCTGAGCAAGAAACCAGAGGACGATGAGGGTTTGAAGAAGGACGTAGAGACTGTGAAGGGAACTGATGTATCTTCCACTTCTATGGACCACTCTTTCCGAACCTTTCAGTTTGTAGACATGGGGTTTGAGTCGGCTCCACTGCATCATGTTCCAGACAGTACCAGGGACATCCTCTGGTCGCACCGAGACTCTGCTATCGCATTCTTTGGCAACCTATCAGGCCAGTCTGAGGTGGAGAAGGCTAAGACCTGGTCAATTAGGGCCACTGGTGGGATAGCCGAGCCCAGTGTAAGGATGCCTGACCCCTTTGCTGAAACGCAAAGGTTGCTGATGTTGGTAAGGCTTTCTTGCACTTAACCATTTTTTTTAACTCTTTTGCTTCGGCTGACTGGTTTTTAACCTCTGCAGGCTATTCAGAACCACACCTTAGCAGTGGGAATGAACGAGGAACTGAAGTTCAAACTTGAGGAGGCCGAAGTTCGAGCTAACCTTGGTGGACTCAAAGCCAAAGCTGCTGAGGAAGAAGATGTTGCAGCCAAGGATGCCTCATAGATTGTCTTCAAAAGTTTGGAGAATTAAATATTCCCCATTTTGGATCAGGGACCTGAATTGCTGAAGAAATATGGGGTTGATGACATCCCTGGTCTTGAGTCTCGGATCTAAGAGATTCAGTAGCAACATGAGGAGACTCAACGGATGACAGCTGAAGAGTTTCGTCAAAGGTCCACCATTGCCGAGGAGGAGTTGCTAAGAAGAAAAAATGAACTGCATGATGAAATTCAGCGGCTCCGGAACGAGCTGAATGCCAAGCAGGTGGAGTCCTCCAAGTTCCAAGACGAGCTCAAGGAGGCTCAAGAGCTGCTGAAGGCCCAGAAAGAGGAGGCTTCCCAAGCTCAGACCGAACTCGAGAAAGCTCAGAAGCTCCTGGAAGTGCGGATCTACACCCAGGCCGAGTATGACGAGGGTTATGAGAATGGGTTCAATGTAGCCCGGCGGCTAGCTTTCCATGCCGATCCTAACATTGATTGGGATCAAGTGGAGATCTGGGCTTCGGATGAGCTGGAGTTCATCTGGCCACTGCCAGCCAAGCTGAGATTGACTTTTTGATTCGCTAGGCCAAAGCTGAGGCTCGAGAAAAAGAAGAAGCTACGAGGAAAGAGAAGGAAGCAGCTCAGAAAAAAAGAGTCTGAGAAAGCTCTTGCTCAGCCTGCTTTGTCCTCTGCTGGTGCTGAAGCTTCAGGTGGTCAAGACGCAGCTGCTCCTCAGCCTGATCTTGCGAATGCTGAAGCATAGGAATTCAGGCAGTCGTCTACAGAGTCTTGCGGATCAACTTGCTCTTAATTTTAAAATATGTCGCATCTGTTTTTGCCTTTTGAACCTTTTGCTTCAGCTTGCCTTGATTGTATAAACTCTTTATTTTTGACTTTTGAGTAGTTGTACTTAGTTCGACAGTTGCTTTTATCCGTCTTGGGGATGGCTACAGATTAGTATTTGGTTTCCTTGAACTTTCTGAACTTGGTTTGATGTAGCTCGGTGATCCGAGCATAATTTTTTTGCTTTGAACGCACTACTTTCTCTTCCGATTAACTTGCTAGTTTTGCAACTTTCTTTTTGTTTGTTTTTACAAAAAAAAAAAAAAAAAAAAAATTCTAAGTGTTGGGCTTCGGCTTGGAGGTTCTTGGCCCTAACTTGCTGAAAAAATGAGACTGAGCTGAGTGCTTCTTGCCCCTCGGAAATCTGAAGTTTCAGTCTTCGGATTTCTAAGGTGTTTTCTTGGTTTTACTTTCGCGGACAAAGTCTTGCTTCACCTTGTCTTGTACCACTTAGCAAAATTTTTGAAGTTTCTGTTCTTTTTCCCTTTTTTTTTTTTTTTTTGAAGAATCTATGAGTTCGCTGCTTAGAAGTCTTGGACTCCAAGAGCAGTATTCTCTCGATCCTTGAAAATTTTTCGGGGGAATGACTATCTGAAGCACAATGCTAGAGGTTAGCAATGCCTTGGATATAACTCCTCTGAATCACAATGCCAGCGTTTGGCTATGTTTCAGATTCGTCCACGGCCCCTTTGCCCCAAGGAACTAATT